CAGAGCCAGGCAAGTGTCCATCTCTCTTGCTCTCATATCTCAACACCTCTTCGTTTTACCCACTGCTTTCATACCTCACTGCCACGCCTCTGCTCTAAGCAGGCATCACTTCCTGAACAGAATTCATGGAATGCTGTCAGCCTCCTGAAGAGACAGGCTTTCTCCAATCCATTCTCCTCATTAAATCCATAGTGATCTTTCCATAACACAAAGGTGATCATGTCTGCTCTACCTTTTAAACCTGTTCAGTGGCTTCACAATTTTTAAATCATTTCAGTGGCTCTTGTTCACTCATTTACTCATCTATATCATGGAATAAACACATCAAGCAAGCCCACATCCAAAACAAATCTAGAACCCTAGTAATGATGCACATTCAGCCAAAATGTTCATCCCCATCCCATCCATGCCCCTTGTCTCCCCACACAAGAGTCAACATCCTAGATCCCATATTCACAATTAGCCTGGCTTGCTTTATAATAAAATCTTTTTGCATCTAGATATATCTCTAAAGCATATATTTGTAAATTTTAGTTGATTTTAGCTTTTCAAACTGTATATATATCATCTTTCAAGGACATAATTTTTATACTTAACTTACTATTATATTGTCAAGATTCATTCATATTGGTGTGAGTCATTGTAGTTCATTCATTTTAACTACTATATATTAATCCCTTATATTGATATACCACTGTTCATTCATCAGCTTTCCCATTAATGGGCATATTGGTTATTTTCAAGTTTTCATTTTATGAACATTAGTACTATGAAATATTTGTGCATGTGGAAGAAATTTTCTTGAATATATGACTATGAGTGATGAGTCATACACACACATTTAGATTTCAAAGATAATGCCAAACTACTATCTGAAGTTATAATAAAAATGTGGAAATGCATCATTTCTAACAATTGGTATTATTAGCCTTTTTAATTTTTGCCAACTAAATGCATGTAAATATGTAATTGTAGCCTTGTTCTATATTTCCCTGATCAAAACTGATGTCCAGCATTTCTTCCTAAGATTTTTTTTGTTATATGTATTCTCTTTCTTAAGAAGTGTCTATCCATGTCTGTGGCCCATTTTTCTTCTATTGGACTATTTGGGCCTGTCAAATTAATTATAGGAGATTAGATAGATAGATAGATAGATAGATAGATAGATAGATAGATAGATAGATAGATAGATATAGATAGATATAGATAGATATAGATAGATATAGATAGATAGATAGATAGATAGATAGATAGATAGATATAGATATTTGACAATAATCTCTCAGTTGCATGTTCTTTGAACATATACACTTCGTAACTTCTCTTTTTACTTTAAGTTACATTTGAATGAATGAAGCAACTTTCTCAATTTTAACATAGTCAAATTTATCAATATTTTCTTTATGATCAAATTTTTAGTGCAGTGTTTCAGAATTTTTTTCTTAATTCAAGGTATAGTAGATGCCTATCTTTTTCCTGCTGAAAGTTTTAGTTTTGTTTTGACACTAATATATCCAAGGTTAATCTTGGTTTATGACATGAAGTAGACATCCAATTTCATCTGTTTCCCACATGGATTGCCACTTTATTTTCAGCTCCGGTTACTGAACAGCCAGTCTTTCCCCTACTGATGTGTAGTGTTTTCTTCTGTCGTATACTGAATGTTCCAAACATGGGAGTTTATTCCAGGGCTTCTGCTCTGTTCCACTGGGCAATCCAACTGCCCTTGTGTCCCCTTGTACCAATACTATAGTCGTAATCACTCTAATTTTATAAGATCACTATATTTTTCTACTTAAGAACTATTCTGGGTATTTGGTAACCAGTATCATTTCATAAACATTTTAGTATTTTCTCCTTTAACTAGTTTTTTTGTTTGTTCGTTTAATGTTTTAGACCTCACCTTACATTCCATAGCCTCTGTGAAATTTTATCTAATACTTAGATCTATTTTCTTCCTCATTCTAATATTCATTATATGCATTATGCTTGTCATCATTTCTAAATGCATTTTTACAGAGAGAGAGATAGAGAGAGAGAAAGGAAGAAAAATGTTTACTTTTTTTACTATAAGCTACAAGACAGTAGTAGGGACCTCAGTTCCCTTAATAAATGGTTTTAAAAAGAGTTACATCCTCCTTTGGGGCCTCATCCAGAATAACTGCTTCTCCCTCGGAGCCTCATTTGGACCTTTCAGTCACCTTCTCAAATTTAGCTGCTGTTGATACAAACATTACCATGAGTCAACACTCCACTGAGGGGTTTATGCACATCATCTCATTTAATTCTCAAGGTAACCCTGCAAGCAGGATATATGGCTTCTAAATGAGAACACTAAGATGTCAGACTGACACACCCCAAAGGAAAGAGGGGAGGGAAGGGCAGGAAGAGATAAACCAAAGAACTTATATGCATATATGCACAACTAATGGACATAGACTACAATATTGGGGGGAGGGAGTGAGGAGGAGGGTGTCAATGGGGGGAAAGGGAGAAACATCTGTAACAAATACAAATTAATTAATCAATAAAAATAAAATAAAATAATTTTTTAAAAAATTTTATTAAGGAATTTGCCAAAAGTCACATAACCAGTTCAGTGAGGAGGAGGTAAGAACCAGGTTGCTCAACAAAGCCTGAGCTTGTAACCTCCTGGTAATCTTATCCAATCACTTGTGAACTCAGATGTCCTTACCCTTTTGCTTAGGATTTGTTTTTCCTTTGCCCATTACTAGACTAAGTTCTTCTTTTTTTTAATTGAGATATAATTGCTATATAACTGTGTAAGTTTAAGGTATACAACATGTTGACTTCATAGGCACTTTAATAATTGATGATGTGATGAATAAATAAATGAACATTTATCAAACATTAATTTAGTATATGCTAATATTGGGTACTTAAACATTGTTTAAAAATTTTAATTTAGAACTAGAAGGGATCTTAGAGACCACATTGTCCATACCTTTTGTTTTAATAACGGAGACACACAGGTCTCAAAAGATCAACCTTTTTAGTCAAAAGGCCTGTTTGACATATTTTGAACATGAAAATTTCAGTTAAGTGAACTTTGTACAGTATCATCTGCCTGTAAATAAAATATATTTTAAATACACGGGACAAATTCCTAAATGAAATAACGTTCTGAAAAATTAAGTTAAAGTAGAAAATGTAATTAAACCCCTAAAATCTATTTTACATTTATTTAAGACAAACATAATGTACAACTAAAGAATTCTTTAAAATGAAGAGAACATAGATTAATTTTACAATTTAAGTCCAAGGACAAATTATTATTTTGTTTTGCATCATTACATTTCACATTTTGAGATTCAAGACTGAATATTAAGAACGTAAATCAGAAAAACTGTACTTTTTTGTTATTTGTAAAAAAGGTTGTCATAATTTGGCTGAATCAGATTATAACATTTTCTGTGACTAACCTAGATGTCTCCATTCAACAAATGACAAAGTGATCATTCCAAACTGAGGCAATCCATCAAAACACATTTCCACTTTCAGCCAAGCATCAACTCAACTGATTCAACAAGCAGAAAAGGCTGATTTATTCTGGGATTTTAACCAAAGACCAGCAAATCAATCTCCATGTCCATTTATCAAAATCTGATAGACTCATAATGTTCTCCTCTTTGAATAATTCTAGTATAAAGGTATAAAAGATGCATATAAAATACTTAAATGGGTCTAGGCTCAGTCACTTGCAAAGTACTTTTTTCTAAAATCTTTGAAGTAGTAAAAAACTAGTGAGAAAGTTAGACTCGTTTTGAAAAGAGAAAGATAATCAGAATTTCTCAGTTGAGTGAGAGCATTATTACACAATCAAAAGTGAACTCAAGACTCTTCAATACTCTTTTAACAAAATTAATTTTTGGAAATGCTCTTCTGTGTTTTTCTAAACATTACACAACCAGATAATACCAATGAAATTCTGTTTTTAGCATATTTTGATGAATAAATAACTTCAAACATATCTGTAACACTAAAATCACACACTAAATTCATTAAATAAATTCAAATCTCAAGTCAGGAATTTATGTTCACTCTTCCTAAAGGTATAAACATTTTAAATAGGACTCAAAGTTTACCTTTTGTCTTATTTATGAAGAAATCTTTTGCTAGGCAGTGAATTAATGTAAGCTAGATTTCAAGGAAAAAAATGTTTTATTCAATGATAATAAAACTAATTTCAAGCACCCTTAAATACTTTAGAAGCACTCATTTACTAGGTATATTTCAAAAATATCTTTATAGATCTGGAAGTCAACAAAAAGCATAGAGAAAATTATTTGAAATAATTGCAGGAAACGAATGTCTATAACTTCACTTAATAAATCCCTATTTATATATGTATCACTGTGTTTCTTTGGGATTCACTCTTCAATAGTCAATGAAACTGGTCTCAAAAGAGGTAAATATTGATTTAAAGTGACTTTATGATATACCTGAAATCACCTTGTGCCCTTAACACAGGGCAACAATCTGATGGCCCATAGGTTGGATCTAGCCACCAACATGTGTTTTGTTTTAAAAAGAGTTTGTTTTATTATTTTTGGAAGTCCTTAGGGGGGTCAGGTACAGTTCAATTTTGCTACAATTCCCACCATCTTACTTTAGTAGGTTTTCTTCCTCCTGTTACATGCTTGGTCTCTAAGGCTTTCGCTTCTGAAAGCCTATATTTAAAATTCTGTCCAATTTGAATGTTCGCTGAATTATTCCTTCTGTACAGTCCCAGAACGTAGGAACTATTAGAATTTGGAAGGAACCTCAGAGTTAGTTCATGCTTCTCACTTCTTCCAACAAGATACTGAGGCTAAGAAAAGTCTAGAGTAGTTTACCACAGTTAAATGGACATTAATAGTTCTGCCAAAATGTTCTTCTGATTTAATAAGCTGTTTTTAAATAACCCCATCATGTTTTGTCATGAGTCACCACCATTCTCTCATCTCTGTGAAAGTAACCTTTGCTTCATCAGCACTTACCCCTGAGAGCAGGGAGCAGGGATCTCTCCTTCTTGTCATCACATTTGTTACATTCACTGAAGTACAGGAGCAAGAAGACGTCAACCAGAACCCACATCAACGAAGTGGCAAGAACCACCTTGCAGTAAACAAACCTCCTCATGTCTTTCCTTGATTTCTAGTTAACAAATAGACTGAAGACAGATGCTACTGTGATAAATCCAAGCCACAGAGGTGAACTCCAGCATAAAAGCAAAATGCATCCCACTGTATGAAGGAAAAAAAGAAAGAAAAGGGGTAACATTATTACCATGCAGTTTCTTTTTTTGTGTAAAGGAGATATAACATAAAATTTATGACTCGTTTAATGTTACCATAAATATCAGCACATGACCTTCAAATTCAGAATTAAAAGTCCAAACAAATGTAAGTTGTAGGCAAGCCAGGTGGCTAAAATTCGAACAGCTAATTCTAGATCTGCTACTACTCTGCAGGGCCCTTAACAATTATTCGATTTCTTTAAGTTGTATTGTCTTCTTAAATTACTATCATAACATTCTGTAGAGCACCAGGTTGTCAAATAGCAGTTTGAACTTACTCTGTTTCAGCACTTTCAAGGAGCCAATGTGACTGAGCTAGAAACCATCCTGGAACACGCTATATTGTAGTGGCTAAGAGCTGGCCTTTATACACAGATAGACTTGGGTCTATTTACTTCATATTTGTGGGAGCTTTTATAATTTTATTTTTTGCATTTATAAAATGAGAATAACAATGCCAAACCTAAAGATTTGCAATGAGGACTAAGTATGATAACATTTGTAAAGCATCTTGCAGAAGACAAAGTTATTAACATACAGAACAAAAAAAAATCTGAAATTCTCAAAAAGGGCAGTTGCATGAAATAAGTCATCAGTTTTTTTTTGTTTGTTTGTTTTTTGTTTTTGGTATGTGCCCCTAGCCGGAACCGAACCCGGGACTCTCTGGTCCGCAGGCTGATGCTCCAACCACTGAGCCAAACCGGCCAGGGCAGTCATCAGTTTTTAAGCGTTGAAAACCTCATTTGGTCTTCACAGAAAGTATCTACAACAGATGTTTATTTTAGAATGGACAGCATACATTCAAAATACACTATTAGAGGAGACACAATCTAACGTAGACCGATATAGAATAACCAGAGTAAGAATTCTAAAACGCATAACAACAAAATGTGCACAACCATTGAGATTGATTCAAAAACAGTGTAGGATTAATACTATATACATATTTGTTCTATTTATACTGCATAGGACAATAAAGACATGGTTAATTCTATCTATACAGTATATATATATATATAATATATATATAATCATTATAATCATTTGCTACATTTAAAACAATATCAACTGATGTATAAATTTATTGATGTAAGTAGCATAGTTTTCACAGATATTGGGGAGAAGAGCTATTAAATAGAGATACTCAGAATATTTCATACATATTTGTCTCAAAATTAAAACATCAAAAAGTGTAATCTGCTGAGGCAGAAGCTCTTTAAATCAAAGGCAGCTGACTTTGAATCATAAAGCAACACAAATGCCAGTGCCTGTTACAACCTATGTAGACTAGTAAAATATTCAAAATGTACATAGAGTGACAACTTTAAAAACTACTATACAAAGGATCTACTTTCAATATTTACATGAAATTTACACTTATTAGGCATTTTTTTCATTTATTTTTTTTTCCGATATTTCGTTCAGATAGAGTGGGAGGGAGAGAGAGAGAGAGAAACATCGATGTGAAAGAGACACATCGAGTGGTCGCCACCCACACGACCCAAACTGCAACCGAGGTACGTGCCCTTAGTGGGAATCGAACCTGGGTCTCTCCAGACCACAGTCCGACCGACGCTCTAACCGCTGAGCCAAACCAGCCAGGGCTATTAAGCATATTTTTTTAAAAAAGAAAGCAAACTACAAATTTAAGAAATACCTGATATTTAGGGTTTATTTATTTGCTTACTATTTTTCTTGAAAAAAAATATGCCATGCTAATTATTTTTCCTATTTTATCTTTATTATTGAGAGCATTACAGATGTCTCCCCTTTTTTCCCCTATTGCCCCCCTCTACCTGGATCCTGCCCAACCCAGGCCTTCACCTCCCTATTGTCTGTGTCCATGGGTAATACATATATGCATATAAATTCTTTGGTTAATCTTTCCCTGTTCCCCTTCTTTCCCTCTGAGATTTGTTTTGACTTCATTGTTCTGTAAAAGTTATAACTAACCATTAGAACTCAGCCTCCAAACCTGATAAGAGAAAGATTTCCCTATATTTCTTGTCTCTTTGTGTATGCTTTACTGAATATGAATGGGAAACAACTTAAGCTACCAATTTTCTGTCTTTCTTTGGTGGAGTAGATCCCTTCAGTTTATTGTAGTAAAAACGTCCCAGGGAAAAGTATATAAAAGACTGATGGTTTCTAAGTGCCCTTTCCCAGATTTATAAGAAATACCTTAAAATAAAAGAGCCTATAATACAATGTCTATACATTATATAAAATCCGTTATTATAAAATTGATAATAAAGACATAAACAGCAGCATTCCTGGTTATGTTGTAGAGTGAAAAGATGACTTTAGGGAGAAGAATAGGTGATGAGAGAAGCATAGGTTGAAGTGAGGCAGCCTGAACCGAGGAATGGCGATGGAGTTGGCTGAAAAACAGGAAATGGCTTCTTCTCTAGGACCTCCTGAAGGAACCAGCCCTGTGGAAATCATTTTGAACTTTCAAAGATTTTAGTCCAGTAAGAATCATTTTGAATTTTCAACATACAGGACTGAGTCCTTTCCAAAGAAGAGGAATTAGACTATGGGTATTGTTTCATCTGCTTCTCTGGATACATTTCCTTCCAGAAAATGAGAACTTCCTATGTGAGCTCACCTGCATAGCAGTTACAAAGAAACCGTGCTCCTTAGAAATTGCAAGAGCCCCTTCTCCAGGAACTGATAATGCCTCTGAGGTACCAATTACTGCTCCAGGAACTAGTAACCTTAGAAACAGCTCCACAGGCCCAACACCCGACTGATCACCTCCATCCAGTGACCCTCAAAAATATTGTAAAAGATATTTGACCCCTGCCTCCAAAACAAACATTTATTGTGTCTTCAAGGATTTTCAAAGAATGAATCACAACCAGGAATATTTTTAAATCAACATATCTCCAGCGTGTACAAGCTCCAGCCCTCCTGTTAGTCCACCCACCTCTCTTGTGTGAACCACAGAGTCAAGAACGAGAGAACTGACTGTACAGATGACCCCTCTCAACAAGAGGTCAGTGATCCTCCAAAAGAATATGATCCTGAGAAATTTTCAGGCCTTGTCCATGGATCCTCTCCAGTCTGTGAGTCCCCTGAAAATCTATTTCCTCTCTATGGAAGGAGAGATAAACATGAAGAAGGACAAGATGAAGTCAGTTTGGCAAACACAGTATAACTCAGAACTTTTGGGAAGTAAATTTAAACTCAGAACCTTTGTAAAGTAAATTTAAACCCAAAGTCACTAGAATAATTTTTAACAAAAAAGAAAGAAGAGAGAGAGAGAGAGAGGGGAGGAGAAGAAGAAGAAGAAGAAGAAGAAGAAGAAGAAGAAGAAGAAGAAGAAGAAGAAGAAGAAGAAGAAGAAGAAGAAGGGGAGGAGGAGGAGGAGGAGAGGGAGGGAGGGAGGGAGGGAGGGAGGGAGGGAGGGAGGGAGGGAAAGAAAGACCAAGTCAAAACCCTGCCATGGTTGATACAAGAACAACTAGGAGTGGAACCTGGAATGGGGACCAGTGGATTGTGAACACAGAGGACCTGTGGAGACAGCCTGTACCCTGGGTAGAATAACGTCATTGCCAAGAGCACTGACTGACATGCATGTATAAAAAAAAAAATGTGTCTAAATCAGATTCTGATCTCATTGCGTATCCTTCAAATAAGAAAACATCAAGAGTTAACTGGAGTGAATCTTCAACTGCTGAACACAGTTCCAAAGGGAATTCTGAAAGAATACCATTCTTCACTTCTGAATGGGAAGAAACTGACAAAATAATGAGTTCCATAGATGTTGGAATTAACAGTGACTTAAAGAAATGAATGGTGAGGCCACAAAGGTGGCATCCTGTTTCCTACTGAGCTTTTCTGACCCAACTCCTACAAGCTTCTGCTATTTCTCCATGATCTCCTCAGGAATTTGCCCTACATTCCACTTTATGTGGCATTTCCTTTTGTGCTTAATCTCCTTGTGAAATTTTCCTAAGTAAGTTTTGTAATCCTTGTCATTTTCTCTTCACTATAACAAATTGCACTGTACTGCTGCTAGGCTTTGGGAAGTGTTTCACTAGAACCACTCAGAAGTAGCACTTTTTTTACCAAATTGACTTTTGACACTATGACATTCAGTTATTAGAAGTTCATGTTCAAAATCACAAATAAGGTAGATACTTAGAAGAGATTTATAAATACAAGGGAACTAACATTTTTACTATATTACGAGTTTATAACTTGTCAAAATAAATATTATATCTATAAGGAACATAAATTAATAAAATCAGTCAAGTTTTAAAATCTTGGCAAGATCGTTATTCCATCATTTAATATGTTGACTTAGCCAACTAAAAATTCAGTAATATATATTGTAAAAATATTTGAATAAAACTCATCAATTAAAGCATTCAGAGAACAAAGTACGACAGCATTTTATTTCATGCCACTTTTCTCTTGAAAGGTCAAAAATAGAATGTTTTCAGCATTTCTGCTATAGTTTTACCAAAATGACTTAAAAAAAACACATTAACATTATGGAAAATTTTAAACATATACAAAAATAAAGAGAATAGCATTATAAACACTATATATTTGTCACCTAGCTTCAAAACCTATCAACACATGACCAATCTTGTGTGACTCAAAACCAACCATTCATTCCCTATACGCACGCAGGATCATTTTGAAGAAAATCTCAGACATTACATCACATCATCTGTTAATATTTTGTGGAAAACTCTAAAAGATACAGACTTAAGAATATAACCAAAATACCACTACCACGCCTTAAAAAAAAATCAAACAGTAATTTCTTTTTTTAAATTTCATTGTATGATTTTATTAATTTTTTATTACTTTTTCCTTTTTTATTAAATTTACTGGGGTAGCATTGGTTAACAAGATCATATAGGTTTCAAGTATACATTTTTATGATACATGATCTATATATTACATTGTGTGCCCACCACCCAAAGTCAA